TGAATGATGACCGCCATGATGTGGATGATGATGATGATGATGATGGAAATATCCGTGGTGCCACGGGAAGTGTCCATGATGGTGATGATGATGATGCCATGGCTCATCCCAGTCATCGTCCCACCAGCCAGACGCTGTCACCGACACTGCCAACACAGCTAACAGTAATGTTGAAGCAAATCGTACTGATATCATATCTGCAACACGTTTTATGATGATTCCATTCGGTGATTGATCATCGAAAGAAGGGGCAGCAATAGAGAGACTTACTGAATATGCTTCCAGAAGAGGTCTTCTGTTCTTTGAGGTTGCTATGAGGAGGTTCTGCAAAGAGATGCTTTATATAGCAAACATTGAAACAGGCTTAGAATTGGGTCGATGGGGAAGAATTTTTTATAACTTCTTGTCTCACCACAATTCTCCCACCCCGTCCACGGGTACCATTAGCCCGTGGCCTCATTTCGGGCAGATAAGTTGCACCGCCACATTCCCATTAATTTCTTCTTCCCTCATTAATTGAAATGATACGGGAAGAGTCCGAGATGGTACTCCCCATGGCGTTGTTCGTTAAAGTTGCAGAACAGCAGTTTTTGAAACTTTTCTGAGAGGAAATGACTGCTCCAATTGCTACAATATTATTATTAGCTCTTTTGACAATATCAGTGACAGCGTGTGGCTGACGGGACGATGACGGGAATGGCGCATTCTCGACCTCTCGGACTCTTCCCGTGGTATCACTAACACTTCCACCCCATAATCCATATCACCGCGGGTCATCATTCACCAGGCCACGCGGATGGAAATGGAATTGATTTGTTTGCACTTCTCACTGCTTGTTTTTTCCTTCTTATCATTTAATATGAAAAGTGATGAGTGATAATGATATCCTCCAACAAATAATCAATCATACATATGCCATGAATATTCCATTGTTATCGTTTGATATTGACTGATAAGGGAAAGGAGGATTGTAATAGCACTCGAATTCTCGGTGGCATACTGTAACAGTGATTGCTATATTAATACAATGAGGGAAGTGAGACGTAAGTGAGAACAGAGTTCGAACTCTTCAGCTTACAAGCCTCAAACTGCAAAATTAGTACAAAGTTATTTGGTAGGACCGAGCCAGAAAGTTTTCAGTAATCCATGCTAGAGATCTGTAAAAGAACTTATGACAGGCGGAGAGACAGCGGAATGAGTGGAAGTAATGAAAATATTGGGAAAACCATAAACTGCCAAAGAACACATCATTAGATGCATGTGTGTGTGTGTGTGTGTGTGTGTGTGTGTGTGTGTGTGTGTGTGTATGTGCAAACAACGTCCAAGAAGTGTTTGTTTTCAAATGTGGAATGAGAGTCTGTTTGGACAGCACTTTGATATGGCCTGCACATGATGCGGCATGAACTTCCCCAACAAGGAAAGAAATTTTTGAAATGACGGGACGACAATTTCCATTGGTGGTGTGATTCCGTGAGCAGCGCGTTGTAATGTTGCAAAATATATATTTTATTGAAAAAGTAAATTTGAGGGAATGATTTCTGCAGCAAAATCACAAGTCAAAGAAGTCATGTCGAGAGCCACTTTCGAATTCTCCTTTCTCCAATATTGATAGCATTTTTTCAACTGTTTCTTTTGGTGAGAGCGTTCGTTTATTCACCTAAATTTACTTTTCAAAATTCAACCCAAAATTTTATTTCTGCTCTCCCAAAGGATTTAATTGGTTTCTCTCGGAATTTCCGATTGTTTAATTAATTCTTTGCAAGGTACTGTTCTGCACAAATTTGTTGGTACAAAACTTTAAAAATGAAAAAAAAAGTATACAAGAAGTACCTCAGTGCTATTAGCTCGAGCTTGGAATGATCTCCTCATGTCTTCATCATATGACCTGTAATTTTCTAACTACAGGTTCAAATAATTTTAATAAAGCCTAAATAGCTGTTGCTATTCATTTATTTATAAGAAATAACAATAAATCTTCATTTTTCTTCCAAATTATCACATTTCATTTTCCTTTTCCATTGCGACGGATCATTCTCATTTTTCTCATTTTAAAATATGAATTATTCAAGGAATTTTGCTTGAATTTTTCAACGATTTACTTTTTAGCAATTTCATCATGCATATCAGTTTGCACTGGACCGGGCGAGTAATTCAAAATCCGTAAATTACGTTCCTCAACTGCTAAAGCTCGAAAAAATGCCTCACGAGCAGCTTTTCCAACAGAGTACTGAAAATTTTAAAAGTTATTTCAAATTTGTTTTTTCCAAACTTATGAAATCAGCCTAGCAATGCAGAGAAATATGATATGAATAATAAAAGTAGAATTTGAAATAAAAAGTAACCTGAGTCATAGATGGGAATGCTTTTATAGCTAGCAGCGATGTTACATTTAAAATATACCGAATCGGAGCCACCTGAAATTTCATCGGTTATTTTCAGTTCTTCGACATCTTTTCACTCTCATTCTTTTCCTTTTCAATTAAATTCTGCAATAATTCTATGCGAATTTCATGTAATTAAAATGAGAAATAGTGATATTTTAGCAACAAACTTTCAACAAAAAAAAAAACAAATTTTTGAAAAATACACGCTCTAATATTTTACTGTATAATTTATTACAAACAATTGTTATTGCTTGCTGTAATAATATGTTTTTAGCATCAAATATCTTAATTATTTTAAATTTAATCGACTAACTATCAAATCACGAAATGAAACGAAAAAAAGTATCGTACCTGTTCAGGAATGGTACTCAGTACTGAATTGTTGATAAGTATCATTGAAACAAAGTTAATTTGCAAATAATTATGCCAATCATCCGAACTGCTAATTTCCACGCCTCGCCTGGTAACATCTCCAACTGTCCCTGCATTATGTACCAACAGCAATACATCGTATCTTCTTGAATTTGCTGTAAAAAAAAAAAACAAAAAATTCTTTTCAAAATTTCATTCAGATTATTTGACAAATACAATTAATTGTAATAATAGAATCAGATGTGAAACTTAAAAGCTGAAAATTTACATCAAAAATTTTGGCAATAAATATGGAAATAAAATTTCTTACATATAAGACTTGAAAAAAATAAATATAATAAAATTAAAGAGGTTAACACCTATCAGAGAGGATAATGCTCCTTGCAATTCCAGAATTTTACCAGAATTCAATTTTTCCGCATCACAAGCCAGGACATGAATATCAATTCCTTCGACGCTAAATGAATTTTTGAAATGAATTGATTGAAATGGCAAATAAGTGAAACGTGTTAGGAGGATGGAAAAAGGGATTGAAAAGTTTGATAAACCTGCATTTAATTTCATCTTTCAACTCGTCAAGTTTTGTTGCTGTTCTTGCAGTGATCAAAAATGTGGAACCTTTGGCAACAATTTTTGATAGCTGCAACACTGTTTCACGACCAATACCACGACTTGCACCTTAATAATTTCAAATATTAATTCCTCTCTGTTTTTTGGGCCAATACGTCGGTCCAATTAGGCATGTATGATACGGAATTTTTTCGTTTTCCAATGAAATTCGAAAGTTTACAATTTAATTTATTGCAATTCAATTTGAAATTTCTACAAATTAATTGATGAAAATATTCCGAAAAGTGATTAACTTTGACAATTTCTGATACTTACCAGTAATAACCGCTAAAACTTTGCGTTCTTTAATGGTCATCACGGACCCAAAATATCCTTTAATTGATGATCGAATAGCTCAGAAAGAAAATGATTGAATAATTTTAATCCTTATCACTAGTACAACTTGACGAGATTTTATAGCTATGAAATTGCAAAAGAAAAAATTAAGTATAAAAGGAAAGGTGAAAAATAAATATCAAACATTCATGATTTCAAATTTAAGACAAACACAAAAATACGAATGGTAAATCAGACATAGTAAATTTTTTTCATAATCAATTTAGAATCTAACAGACTACTGCTCAAAACCATCGGGAATTTCAATTTCCTTTTATTTCATTCTGTTTTAATTGCCAAACAAATAATAAATTCGTAAAGAAGAGTATTATTTCTGTTGTTTTTAAATTGATTTCATTACTGTAAAAACTTCAAAGGTCTTAACTTCAGATTCATTCTCAATAATTCTGGCCTTATTTAATTGCACAAAAATGAAATATTAAATGCAGAAAAGTAAGAGGAGGAGAGAGAGAGAGAGAGAGGACAGAAAACTGGGCAACAATTATTAGATCGATAATTCACAGCAAAATATTGCATCGTTTATTTCAGTTTGATTATATTCCCTCGGAGTTTTGTGGGTTCTCTTTCAATCTACGTAGTTATCCATATTTGGCTTATTAGGCCCAGAGAAACTATAATAGGCCAAATATGGGCAGAACTAAAAGAAAAGAAATACAAAATCAAATAATTATATCCTAAAGAATCTGTAACAAGAAATATGATATTGTCACGTTTGTTAGCAATATTTTAACCGATAAGAATTATCAATTACTGTGGTCAAAGTGATCAAAGAAGAAGTTTATACAGTTACTTTACTCGATGTAACAATCAGCTCGATGATAATAGGAATTACCTTAGCATTTCGATTGGTAATGATTAGATGAATGATGAAAGGTAATATAAAAATGTGCAAGTGATAATGATACTAAAGGAAATAAAGAAAGAGAGAAGAAAAAGAGAGTTTAATAATTGATGAGAATTGTAAGTTAAATGATATTGTCGTTCGATCGATTCATTGAGTCCGAACGATCGGTTCAATCAATCTACAATATTCGTGTTGTTGTCATACATGCTGCTTGATGATTTGATATATTGATTGAAAGATTTAGAAAGATTTAAATTAACACCAAAGTTGGAATATTAGCAGTTAATTAATTAATTAATATTAATAAATATAGAGAAACACTAAAATATGGGTATAAATGTGAACAAAAATGTTTCATCTGCGCCTATGCTCAAGCAATAACTGTAAATAGCGCCTGCTATGATAATTAATGAGAGAGAGAGAGAGAGAGAAGAAGTTAAACGACCACAGTCTGTCTCTTTCGAGTTGCCATCACTTTTTTTTGTGTATTAGCTATTAAACTGTCCACCAAATGTTCATTAGGAAGTGTTCGTAATATTGTTAACGATTAATAAGTGTGACATAAAGTTAACCAATTAACGCAATGATTATTGCGTGAATGATTATTCATATAAATAGATAGATAGACATCAAGAATAATGATAATGATGAATAGATAGACATCAAGAGTAATGATAATGATGGGAAAACATTTAATTTGTCAGCATATGATCAATGAAAAAAGTATTATTCAAATTAGTTTCAAAGGAAAAAGACTATCCGATCATCGGTATGCTGCTGTCACTATTACTGACACACAATTATAACTCAGAATATCTTTTCTAGTTTACTCCTCTTGCTTATCAGAAAAGGAAAGAAAAACTAAAACTTTAACTATAACACATGTCCGATATCTTCTCGAGATTCGGTTAAGTGTCCATTTGTTTCATATTATTTTGTAATTATGTTTGCATTTATTATCCGAATCTATTTCCTCTTGTTGTTTAAATAGATTTTATGGTTTTGATGAGGACAGATTCTTTCATGTTTTCAATGGGAAAAATGAGAACAAAGAAGTCATGTAGAAGGAAATCTCGAAATTTATGGAAAATAAAAAACTTAAGAGGAATGAGAAATCTCTCAGTTAATTTCTATGCCACCAAAGGAAGTCTCTTCGTAGGAAGAACTCTGTTAAACTTTCATTCAAAAATTGATGCGAGTAAGAACTGATGAACTGTTGACATCGTTCTTTTCTACACAACTTATGGGTATTTATTTTTTCCCAACTCAGCTATTATAGTATGAAATGTATTTTTTTGTACAAAGATTCTCGAGTTAAAGGTCAATGATTAATTAATGCACGGCTTGCATTTTTCGATATACTTTGCTGCAGGCTATAATGAATATAACACAGTTTTGTTTCAAAGGAAAGAATTTTTTTTGTGAACATTTCCTTTGCAATTCCCTCCATCCTAAATTCTCATTACAGTAACTTTTGCAGAATCAAGTTATTAATAATAATGAGATTAGTGTGTCAACTCTCAAACTATGCCAAGTCTTCTTAGTCAACAAAGACTTCTTAGTTTTACACTCATTAAAGGCTTTTTACAGTCTTACCTTAAATGCTTCTCAGCCTTACTCTCATGAAAGGCCTCTTAGTCCTACACTCATGAAAAGCTTTTTACTCTTACACTTATGAAAGGCTCCTCAATCTTAGCATGAACAATAAGTTCCTCAAAGTTCACTTCGAACGAGTTACTTAATAAATCTCGCAATATCATTAATAAATATGTAGGTTTTTGGAGCAAAATAACCAAGATGATACATTAAACAACATTCTTTCTCGATTAACTCGTTGTTTTGTTAAATTCGAAATTAAGATTTGTAGTTGTGCAAGTATAACTCATTTTGAAATCGATGTGAATCGCATGCAGATTTAATAGAAAATTAACCCTTAAGAAATTAGATCATCTTTATGTGTCTTAACTATTAGTTAATAACATATTGATTTGTTTAATCTCTTTTGCTATCAATGTAAAAGAAATGAGAATTAAATAAAAAAAAATATATTAACAACTCGTAATATTAAAGCTAATTAAACAAAACGAAACTAACTAATTAGATAAATAAGTGAACAAAAAAATAGAAAAAAAGCTAAAATGTTAAATTAAGTTTCCATCTAACTTTCAATTTTTTGCAAAATAGTTAATCAACAGTGAAATAAGCTTTTCAATATATGGTACTTGCATAATAAAATTTTCCATTTTTGCGATCACTTGATGGTTGGCCTTCATATGAAGGAATCTAACCTATTTATCATACTAGAAATCCATGTAGGTTTTCAAAGAGAAAAAGACCTTATGTGGAAGCCAATTATGTTATGCAATAAAGGAACTGGATTTATAACGTGAAATGAAAGTATGTGATTGTCATTAAGTGAGGAACTTAATGAGAAATCGCGAAGAATATAAATGCCCAATTGGTTTGCAACAAAATAATCATTTTCAATGTATTAGAAAAACATCACAGCAAACGCAAATAAAAGAGATAAGGAAAGAACATGGAGAAAAAAGAAGGATTATAGCTTTAAACTGGGATGAATACCACTATTCATTTATAACTATGTAACTCGGAAAAAGATAAAGTTGAAGTGAAATGCATAATAAACGGTAACAATAAAAAGAAAGGCATCTAAATGATATAATGCATTCAAATTTTATATCTGATTACATTTGTATATCTGTACACAAAAATCGAGAAGATTAGATTAGCATGTTTCCATCATCTTAACATTTGATGATTGTTGCGTTTCAATGGAACTAAGAGTCCCATAGCACTCAGTGACAAAATTCTGGAATGTTTCCTCGACGCATAACGATTCTCCAAAAGGATTCTTAGACGGTGCTTCTTCAAGCATGCGTCTCTTAGATTTCCATAAATGTAGCTTTTGGCGATAAATTTGTGCTTCTGCGAAATCATCGGTTATTTCGTAGGCTAACGTCATTCCATCATAAATAAAGCCAAGTCCAGAATATTCTTCACCAAATATATTCAACTCTGGAAAAATCACGACACATATACCCTTGAAAAGAAGAATCAATAGTGTTCTTTTCTTTTAAAAAGTACTATTCATGTTTAGTTCTACGTAAACTTAGACTTAAAAAACCAAGAAAATATTTTTAGGTGCAAAGCTTGACTAATACGGGTGTAAAAGATAAACAGTAATTTGGAATTTCGCAATACTTGGAACCCAGAATTTCACTAAATTTACTTTTCTAATAATTGTGAACGCCATTGATTTCATTGATTGTTACCATGGAAAGGTAACAATCAATGCATAGAGCGATCTGTAATTTAGGTTGTAGTGAAGGACAGCCGATAAACTGAATGAATTTACCGGTGTAATGTAAAATGAAAGTTAAGAAAACAAAATCAGATAAAAGGAAAAAACTTTTTTCGTATGTATGACGATATCTGATGTTATCACTAATTAACATACTTTAAAATATTATGGGTTTTATAAGAGAAAAAATACTTCTGTAATAGAGCAATATTTGAATCTGAAAGCTCAATACAAAGATCATTTGTTGTTTTATAGACTGGGGAATTTTTATGAATTATTGTTTGATGATGCATAAAAAGATAAAAATCAATGATAACAGATCTGGAATTAACAAAACATCAGTATTACAGAAACATGAAGAGCGAAAGTATTCACGACACTGTTCTTGTCTATGCAAAATTTTTTACACAATTAATTTAAAAAAAACGAACCAATTTCAAGACATTTTTTGAAGAGAACCAAAGCTTCCCTGGGTCGATTCATGTCCTTCAGATAAAGATAAGCCAAAGAAACCATAGTGAGAGCTGTTTCATGATCATTAATGCCGTAGACAATTTTCTTTGTAGCCAAAGCTTTTTCAAACATTTCCTCAGAGACCTAAGATAAACGGCTAGATTTTAGTTAATTCCATTTAATATTTATAACAAAAATTCCGTGAAAAATTGAAGAGGGATTGATGCTATATGTCAAGAATATTAAGAATATTAAATAATAAAGTACATGTCTTCGACCACCAAATCAATTTTTTACTGACCTTAGCTATCGCCAAGAAGTTGTCAATCTTTTTGAAACCACCATTTTATTTTTTTTTATTAATCTAAATCACTTAAATATCATCATGCAGCAACATCTTTATAATTTGCTTGGAATGATTTAAAGATAGATATCTTTGCACTTAAATATCATGCAATAATACCAAGATAAGTTGAGCAAGTTAGATTTTCTGCAAGCTTAATTTCATGCAAACGTATGAATGCTAACTTCAAGTCTTTGCGACCATCGAAATATGTGGCCAAGATAATCGTAAGTCCTTGCATAATTCGCATTATCACTGCTGAAGTTGCAATATTTATTCAAAGCTCGCATATGTGTTTCCAATGCTTCATTCAGCAATTCTTGCTGGATAGTATCATTTCGTAATGCACTTTTTACCGAAACTAGCACTAAAATACATCTTTGTAGCCAAAGCTTTTTTAAACATTTCCTCAGAGACCTAAGATAAATGGCTAGATTTTAGTTACTCAATTCCATTTAATATTTATAACAAAAATTCCGTGAAAATTGAAGAGGGATTGGTGCTATATGTCAAGAATATTAACTACAATAATAAAGTACATGTCTTATTTTGTTTCTAAGATAAAACTTATAATTTATAATTTGAACATCGATGCGACAAACACTGTTTATTAAAAATTCTAGCGAAATATCACATATGTAATAAGTACTGTATTAAGAGGATACTGATAGAGTACTTCTTTCTTATATGAAGGAAGAAAATCTTGAATTAAAATCAAGAGACAAATGAAACAATTCGCAATGTGTTGTGATTCAAATCTTTAAATAATACAGAACAACCTTGCAGCTCTTCGGCATTTAACAATTGATAATGCTCTTTACCCAGCTTTGTCCGACAAATTTCTACTGCCTTGTTAGCATACTTTTCACAGCGGAAACGCAGCTGAACATATTTCTCTCTAAAAATTGTTTTGAAATTTTTAGGAACATTTTTACCTACCTTTAAATTAATCTACTACTTTGTAACAAATCAGTAAGAAAATTCTGTGAGAATTAATGAGAAGCATACTTATCAATACGATACTCAGCATAATTATTATACAGAAGCTGGTATGCAGCACGAGCATATTCATACATTGCCCGACCATCATGAAGAGAATCTGTTCCGAAATGTTTGTGAACCATTTTTGCCATCACCTATGTTGGTTTATTTTTAAATTTTCTCCATTTTCAAAAAACTCTCGAAAATCTTTGTAGGACTTCAAAGTGAATAAAATTTATGACATCGAAACCAATAAAGTCATTACAGAATCTCGCATTATTTTAAATTCATGACCTCCTGTAATGAATAGAAAATGTTAACTATTTCTGCAAGCAGTATCCAGCAAATTATTTAATGATAAAACTTACGGTATAAACTTGCACAGCCATCTCGACATGGTCTGAATTGAGCAAGCAATCTCCATAGTCACATAATACGGACCACAACAACCTCTCAAGCTCTGCATCGCTTAAAACAATCGCTAAAGCGAAACGAATAGTTCTCAGCGCTAAGTTAAAATGCCTTTTGAAAACGAGAACCTTTGCAGTAAGACATAAGAGCTCCACTTGTGCCTGCAATAAGAATTCAGATTAATTCCAAGCAATATATTGCTGATGAATGCTTTGGTAAATAACATACGAGCTCGTAGTTCATAGTTAACTCAAGAAAGATTGAAAATGAACGATTAGAAAAGATTTGAATTCATTCCACTTTTTTGTGTTTTTTTTGTAACAAAATATAGTTCACAGAGAAGGAACGAAATTTAATAGTACTTGAAAAAATCTGAAATCCATTAATTCACTAATTTAGCTTACAGTAATATGCGTTCCTTTGTCATGAGCAGTTTTTAATGCTTTTATACAAAAGTTCATAGACTTGTTGTACTGACCCAACACGTACCTGAAAAAATTTCAAAGGAATAAAATCATATTATAAGAAATAAATCTAGCCAAAAATCAGGAAAAACTGACCATAAAGAAGCGCACTGAGTTTGAATTTGCACGAAATTTAATGTTCCAACACCAGTATTGCTTTCCAGTTTGTCAATTAACGTATCAGTAAATGAACTGATGTGTACTGCCTCGACAAATGAGCAGTTGTTTATATAATATTTCATCAGCCTTTAAAGATTTGATCAAAGTTGAAAAAATAACTATTCTCAATTATGATTCGCATTTTACTAACAGTGGTTATTATTCCATTAAGAAAAATATGGTCTAAAGTCGTACGTACTATTTAACAATATATTTCAGTGTATTGCTACAAATCAGCATAATTAACATCATTCCAATAAAAACTTTCAAATAGCCTTAAAAATAAACATACCAGTAATTGAGTTCAAATAATTTCCGTTGACGAAATTGGTGTTCATCAGACAATCGGCTTAACATTTTTTGACAATATCTGAAGATCTCACCAGGAAGATTAAGTGACCCGTGATCCAAAAGAAAAGTGCCTGAAAATTATTGTTATTATCAATTTGCTAGTACAATCCTTACCTTTTTCAGTATCATATTTTTGGTGATATTTTCAATCACTATATTAAAAATAATGTATTACTGATATTAATGTTGATTACTGATAATGTCGTTTTTAAATAAAGGAATTTTAAACGAACAGCAATCATTACCTAAGATGAGTGTATCTTCGTATAACTTTATGTCTTTCTCTTTCGTACGGTCTAGAATCTTTCGTTTCAAATCTTCGAATAAAACTCGTTCAATTAGATAACCTTTATTCATTAGTCCATTGAAAAGCTCATGAACTGTCATTCTGAAAAGCAACTTATTACACGTATTAGTTATCTAGTGATAACCGACCCTTAAGAGCTGAGCTTATTTGGAAATAACGAGAATAACATTATAAGCTACCAAACACATAAAGATGACAGAATACGCCATATATAATCAATGTAACGCCATAAATGTTGAGTAATAATAACAAACCTTCTCATTTTCCAATTTAGAATCCTTTGAAATTGATCGATGCTACTCCATTCTTTGTGTAATATAAGAAGCTTGTTTTTCTTATATAAACCTACATGGATTTCAAACAATAACGGTAATGGTAGAGTATATGCTTCTGTCGGAATACTGTTTATTATATTCGTGAGGTACTCCACAACAGTAGTTTCCAGCGATTCTACAATAGTTCAGTACTTTGTCACACTGCAAATAAATTGCAAGTGGATAAAATACAAAAACAAATCTATATAAAATTATAAGTTTGTCAGCAACTAAGCTTTTTCTCAATCCTAAATTTTAATAAATGTCACTGTTTTAAATTCTCTCTGTAAATTTTATTTTCTCTAAAACTGACTAATCTATAAATTGAGCAAAAGCTTGAACTATTGAACAATTGGTTTACAATAATCTCGGTACTTTCGCATGCTAAGGTTGGCAATAAAACGAAACAAGAAAAGAGCTTTTTTTTCACCCATCAGCAACTATGCTCTTTGAAGCTACCATACTTTTTTGTATTTTATTGATTGTAAAAATATCTGCTTAATAATTAGAAATGTATTTCAAAATTTAATTGCAAAGGTCTCAAGCAAAGATCACAAGCATGTATATCTTATAAATGAGCTTGATCTGTATATGTAGATTCTCAATCCACTATTCATGAAACTATCAAATTTAAGTATGTCAAATATAGTAAAGATAACAGACTCGGATCCTTTGTTTTTCCATTTTCTCGAGTAAAATTCCGCGCTCCCCAAACTTCCAGCAGTTCGTCCCATTGACCGAAAAGTGGATCAAACAAGCCTCGTTGCATTACCAATTCTCGCATTTCGTCGCGCTGTCTTATCAGATGTTCAATCATATTACGCAGCTCATCAATGAGTCCTACGGCAATACGCTCCATTCCATCCATCATTGCTCCTTCGTCTACTCGATTCGCTTCTCTATGAATACTGAATTCCTCGAAAATAGTCACCCAACGATACTTTGGTTCCCAATAAAAAATCTTCCATCAGATCGTAAATCCGCGGATAAACCTAACCATAGATGTGAATGAATCCGCGGATTGTCAATGAATCTACAGAGAATTTGCTGAAATTACCTATTGAAAATGAGGAAAGTAATCCAATCGAGATCTCACACAACCAAATAAAGAAACATACAAGACGATAGTGTCAGATCAGAGAATTAGATCCTATAAATCAGAGGAAACATTCATAAATACAGTTAAGTAAAATTTATGTTTTGGTAAAAACCAACTCTCCTAACACCGCAAGTTGTTCAGCTAACACAGCATTTGCGTTGTGTACAAGCACACGAAAATCCCTATCCAAATGTTCCAAATCGAGTCGACCTTCATTAGGTGGAACAGCTGGGAGATTCATAAAAGGTAAATTGTGCAGTATCCCCGCAGCTTCATCCACCACTCGTTGTCCATTTTCAGGTTCTGCGTCGATCTGTTCCTCATCATCTGCCATTGCCGAAAGTTTATGAACAATGGAACTACCCGTGAAAATCACTGCAAGCAAAAATGTTACGTGACTAAACTTCTCAAACTAAACATGCATTAAATAAAATATTTCAAATAAGGACCATTAAGTCTTTCATATCGCTAAAATTCCTAATTTGGCGTAACAGTAATTTAGGTTACATTTCGCAGTAATATCAGTTTGATACAGTTTGAACAGATAGAATTCAACATGAAATAACCTAAACGTAATAGAAACGTACGTATGAAATAGCTTAGAAATGATGAAACTGAAAGAGGATGTGATAGAATTAAGAATGTAATACAATTTGTACATCGATAAATAAACAAACACAAAATCATTCGATGAAATTAAAAAAGCAGAAAATAAATTTATAAAAATCATAAACCCATGAAAGATCACAATTAATATTGATATATCGGTAATTGACAAAACTGTAATTATAAGGAATTTGTTTGGCGGATGATCGCCAACAGTTATGGTACAACAATTCCTGCGTCATCGACAATTATGTAGTCATTTTGATGAGGTGATAATATCAATTATGATAAATTAATTCGACAATTCACTCATCAAAGTATTCGAAACTGATTACAATCAACAAAGGAATCAATGCGAACGAGCCACAAACATTTAGTCAGAATAGAATGGAACGAAAGAAAATCCGCTATGTCCGTCTCGATGACAATGAATGACACATTGTCAGGAATGATGCGCAACGCGGGAATTTGAATTTTGTGAATGATTCTTCCTCTGTGCTTTCGCTAATTGGAACTATAAACGATAAATCCTCACTTATTGTTGTCACTTATCACTTGCACTGATAGTGCTATCAAAGAGTTCAGTAATTTATCATTTCATTGCTATGAATCAACAAAATCATTCATTAGGGGAAGGGGAGGAGCGAAGCAAATTCTCATCTCATAAAATGCCTCATCAGATAGCAATACCAATGTTATGGTAACAATGAATTCTTTGAGGTCAAGGAAGCGTCTGAGCTAATTATCGATTTCATCTCGGGAGAAAAAGACACAACAAATAAATTACCACCGGGAGAATTAGAGAAATTCGCATACGGAAAGGACTGCAGAGGGAATGAAAAATTTAATAAAAAAATGAATGATCGACATCATAATTGATTGTCTTTTTCTCCACCTTCAAAACAAAATTTTCACTTTAATTTAATAGAGATGAGATAAAGAAGTAGCACGTACGTTCGATTCCACGCCGCTCAGCTTTCTTCTAACTGTAAATAATGAATTAAAAGCTCTGTTGTAGTGTGTTTCAACTGTTTTCTACCATCCAAACTAATTTTAATTTTAATAAGCAAGCTAATTAATTTGCCTAAAATTCT